TAAGCCACCTAGTTTAGACTGGCAGGTGGATAAACCCGGTGAGTTGAGCCGGGTTTATCCACCTAGTTTGAACTACTGTAGGCCTAAAAATACATATTGAATCATAAGCGTTTATATTGTTTTTAGCATTCTGTACTATATACAGACTCACCAATCTACACATGTTAATTCCTCTGGAAGAAATTATCTTTGTTTCTATTAAAATATGAAACTGAAAATATATTAAGATCTAATTTCAATTTGATCTAGAATTGCTCTCCTTGATTACAAATTGTGAGTTGTGATTGAAAACAAAACAGTGCTTTTGTATCTTTTAATAATCTCTCATTCAATTCTCTATCATGCTTTTTTATTTCAAGTCCCACTTCCTGTTTTGAGATAATTATAAAGTTGCTTAGCCAAGGCTGGTCATATAAACCACAGTATACAGTTCGAACAAACTATGTAACTATATAACTGAAAGTTTATTATTGAAAACAAAGAGTGCTATCATTTAATAGTCTCTCCTTTGGAACTTATCATTCTATTCCTGTCATGCTTTTTATGTCACATCTCGCTTCCTGTTTTTGAGATGATGATAAAGTTTGTTATTAGCCTAGGCTGTTCATATAACCGCAATACAGTGGCGTATCTACCTGTAGAAGTCTTGAAATGGGAGTGCTGATGGGGAGAGGCGTGAAGGTGAAGTGGGGCGGGGGCTCGATGATCAGTTGAGGGGTACTAACTTGCAAGGTGATTTTAGATAATTATTAACTACTTGCAAGTAATTTTGGGGGAGGGGTGAGTAATGGTTTAGAGGGGCGTGCCAAACTCCCCCACCCGCCGCGCACCCCCTAGATATGCCACTGCCACAATATAGCCCCAATATGCTCATATAACCACATGCTGTATAAGAATGTAACTGGAAGTTTATAATTAAAAACAAAGAGTCACTATTTCTTAATGATCTCTCCTTTTATTCAATTCCTATTGTGCTTTTTATGTCATGTCTAATTTTCCATTTTGAGATGATTATAAAGTTTTGTATAACATTAGTATATTCAGCTCTGATAAGCTGTGTAACAATGAAAATCAGTTTTTGAACTTTCGTTATTTTCTGCCTTCAGCTTGAACAAGAAAGATTGTCAAATTCTTCTCTAAAGGACGCACTGAAGCACAGAGATCGCTCCATACAACAGCTAAGCAGAGGTATGAAGACCAAATTTATTTAAGTGACTATTCAGCAGTCAAAAAATATATTAAGAATTACGAATTAAGATTCAAACGTCATCTTAATGAATATAATAATTCTTCTATGAATCATATAAAAGCATTAGCTGCGATGTATTATCCCTCATTCTTACTCTAAAGACCTGGTTTAACTCCGGCCAGCATTTTAATTGGGGTCTGATCATGTAGTTTCTTGAATACTCTTCGAAAAAGTTAGTCGGGATAAGGGAAAATGTATCTTTTATATGTTTGTACTAGCGTTGCAATGCTGCCGAGAAGCCCTGTAGCCAGCGAAGTTCCTTGTTTTACTAGTCTCCATCAAGTAGCAGTGAGGAGATAAAGTTAATAATAATAACAACTAGAGGGCACTCGGAGAGTGCATGCCTCCGCCCACCTCATAATTCTCCTCAGTATAAATTACCCCTGCATAATGTCCCAATAAAAAAAAAATAATGACTCCTTGGAATTTGAGTCTGGGGCTGGTAGTGTGGAAAACACTCTTCTAACCACTACACCAAACTGTTTTCACATGTGTCACTTTGAAATTAATGGTCATATGTTCCTTTACCGGCAAGCTCGTACAAGCACACGTCACACACCTCTGTACGTCACACACATCTGTACGGCAGATATTTATGCAAGTTTTTCGATCATTGTGTCCTTGACTTTTGACCCTGACCCTTCAAAATTTAGTCACTTCCAGATCTTTGTAAAGGAACATTGTGGCCAAGTTTGACAAATTTCTGATAAAAACTGTTTCAAAAAATCGTTTTTTGTTGATTGTGACCTTGACCTTTAATCCTTACCCTTTAACATTCAAATACTTTGAGATCTTTGGTCATGGAACATTTTGTTTGACAAGTTTGTGATCAAAACTATGGGCTGTAGACAAATAAATTTAAAAAAATGTTTTTTATTGATTGTGACCTTGACCTTTTACCCTGACCCTTCAAAATTTAACCAGCTCTAGATCTTAGGTAAAGGAACATCTTGCCCAAGTTTGATGAATTTCTGGTAAAAAATATGGGCTGTAAGCTGTTCACAACAAATATGCCGACAGACAAATAAAAAGCTAAATAAAAAAACCAGGCGAAAACATAACCTCCTGCCAAATTCATTAGCGGAGGTAATAATATTTAAAAGTAAATTTGATTTCATTTAATTTTATACCAACTTAATAACATCACAAAACCTGAAAAACAGAATACAAAGAAACAAAATTGAGAAAACAAGTCATCAATCAATGTTGATACCTGAGATAACCCTCTAAATCTCAATGAAGGATTTATTTCCAGTGTTAGCAATTATTGTACTTATTATATATATATTATATAGGTATTATAAAGAAACTTAACTGAAAGGCTCTCATGTTTGAATCATAAAGGGGACAATACATATTTATTCATAACGCAGGCCATCATTAAGTATGTATTGTGATGTAAAAACTCATATTTAGGCGAGACTTATCGTATACCTTGTTTCACAAACTTTTTTTAAAGATCAACAGAGGAGGAAGGAGGAATTAAGAGAAGAAAATGAAAATAAAATTGTATTGTTGCTAGAGAACAATGTAGAATGGGATGCTTAAAATTTATATAATTAGTAAGAAATATACAAATCATATTGTTGAAGATTTCAACGCAGCGGCGGACATAATAAAATGAAAAAAAAAACCCTTTGTTTCTGAAACTTCATAATAATAATAATATGCAGAAATTTATAACGAGCCAATTCAAAAAACATTATCAAAGGCGAATTGAACAATTAACCCAATTAAAGCGATTTTGTAAACAAAGTTTTCAAATTAGTTTTAAATGAGTTAATTGGCCAAAAATAAAATTGTATTCTTACTTGAAATCAACAATATTGGCATATTGCTTCCAATGCTGGTAAGTTCAAACCTGTTCAGCATCAGATTTTAATTGGAGTGTGATTGCCTGGCTCTTAAATATAGTTTACATGAGTTAGATCGGATAAGGGACAATGTATTGACTATGAGAGAACTTGTAGTGGCACCCACCTATCTCTGTGAATGTATTCTACTGAAAATCGAGAATAAAATGGTTCTCTTATCATTGTTTGAATATCAGATTAAAAAGATAAGAACTGCCTTGCAAATGCAATTTGATTCCACATAACCCAGTTGTATATTTGATACCAGTCACGACATAAAAATTGCCCTGAATGCAATTTAAGATGATGGAAATGACTTTTAACAATATTTTCGTGCGTACCAAAAAACAATGATGATTGCTCCTATCTGAATAATAGCGCATGTCAGTATTCAAGTAAAACAAACGTTGAAATTCTTAAAAATTCAACATAAGAGGATAATATTTCATTTTGTTGACAATTGAAGTTAAATAACTTAAATACTGATTCCTCCTATAAATGAATTATAATATCAAAAGTCTATCGCTGGAATAATGGGACTTTTCATTCCGTGCCAAAAACCGTTCTTTTTTGTGGGGCCTGTTTCTACTGGCACAAAGAACTATTCTTAAAAAGAACGGTTCTTAGAGGTGGTTCTTTCTCATCATTAGGAACACGCCCTGTAAGTATATTCGTACATGGCAACAGTTAACAGGGAAATCTAAGAGAGATAGCGTACCAACACATTGACTGCCAGACCGTTTTTTAAGGTTCTTTTTCATGTGCCAGAACAAGCTTACATGTACAAACATACTTATTTGAAATTTTATCTAGTTACATATCATAAAAATGATATATATATCTAATAAATTGGCAGGAAAATATTAGGGGACGAGTAAACTCGTCAGCGGCACTGTCACAGCACTTTTTATTGACGATGCCAAGTGCAACTTATCTCATCCGCCTTTTTAATGGGTTGGCATATGTTCAAAGGGCGCCCCCATTTGTGCCACTCGAGTGCACTGCTGGCAACATAGCACAACAAACATACATACGACATTTGTACGTTATCGTCTAGGTGAGTCTTCCCCGAACTACCAGCCATCAAGTTTGTGGTTCAACAATGTGGTGTACGGTAAGAATGGCCCCGGAAAAAATGGCCCCGGAAAAAATAGCCCCGGAAAATATGGCCCCGGAAAAAATGGCCCCGGTAAAAATGGCCCCGGTAAAAATGGCCCCATATGACAGGTAGGTAAAAATGGCAATAATCAAATTCTATATTAAATATATGCATTTTTTTTATCTTAAATAATTTAGTTTTTAAAAGGAATCTAACATCAAACAAATTGCCATTTACATTTTACTTTTTGCAAGAATTAATATTCAATGATAAAATAATCAAAAATAAATAAAAAGCCATGAATTACACTTTTTTTTTTCCATTTAAATGTTAAAAAATAGCAACAACATAATCAATAAATCAACATAAATCATGCATTTATTAATACTAAAATAATTTACTTGTGGCCGATTTCACAGACATTATTTGCATCTGCTGTAATTGTTACTAAACAAATGCTTTTAAAGAAATTTTAAAAAATCACATATTGATCTCAGTTCAAAGGAAAAAATAAAACTTATTTCTAAATTTATAATTTTCACCTATAAACCTCTTAATTTCACAAAAGAGTGGGTTCTTTTCCAAACAAATACATCCTGCCTAATATTGTGTGTTTAGATTAGATCTTTTGCTTTAACTTTGGAAACTGAGATCATTTTAGATACTATTTCTGTATAAACTAAATGTTTTTTTCATATTACTGTAAACCTAATGGGTTTTGATAAATTTACTCTGCACTACGCAATTTCCAATAAAAAAAAAAAGAAAATTAATTAAAAAGACCATATATGAAATATAAGTAAGGCGTAACATATTTTTAATCTATGTAAAGCATAACTATTTTTATATAATGAAATTTAGTAAATCAAATTATTATTTGTGGCTTTTATTTATTAAATCAATTAAGAACATAATCTCAAAACAAAATTTAATGACAAGAAAGATCGACGTTTCGGGTCCATCATGGAACCATTCTCAAGATCAAGTAAATTGAAAAAACTAAAAACAAAAATACCAAGCAGTGACAGGAAGTAAGTAATTAATTTACATATCAATAGGGCCTACTGTGTGGAGCCA